AGAAAATTTAAGACTCAGGAAGAAAGAAGGTGTTTTCGTCTTTTGGGTGAAAGAGTATTTGGTAATTTACACATGTGCAAAATTTGCTGAGGTCGTAGCCTTTTATTAATTTGTTAGAAAAATTAAATAAGTGAAATTACATTTAAATGTGTGTTAGCATATATTTAAATAAATTATCATTATTGTTAAATGTTAATATATATATTAAATATATATTAATTGATTTTAATTGAAGATAATGATGAATTACAATAAATATCTATTTGGGAGTGTTTGGAAACATGGGGTGTTTGGGTTGGAGCCCAAGCCTATTCCATATAGGAATAGGGCAATTAAAAACATCACTATAAAAGAAAAGGTTTCTTTGTAAAATGGAATAGTTTTTCATTACACTCATTTTCATTGAAAAGGAAAACACACAGCCCCTCATTTCACTCTCTCACACCAGAATTGATTTTTGCCTGCGTGCTCTTTTATGCCGATTTGTGGCTTTGTGTTTGTGGTGAGCCTGCGTGCTCTTTTATGCCGGTTTGTGGCTTTATTATTTATGGCATCTTCTTGCTTTGTGGGGAGCTTGTGTGCTCTCTTTATGCTATTCATGACTTTCTGGGTTTTCCCACGGGTTCTTGACTGAGAGTTATCAGTCATCCTCTTGGGGTATGCCCCTCGTATTTGTACATTTTTGGTCTTTTATACATACTTACCTTATCCAAAAAAAAAAGATCTAGCAAATCCCTCCTTAGTTCTTTGTGATTGTCTTTGGGTGGACTACGTCGATTTGACCTTACACTTGGGTCGGTAGCAAAACGTTCAAAGACAAAGTTGGAGGAGCCTCCAAACGTGCGTATGATTCCTTAAACCTTAAAAAAAATTTCTGCAAATTTAATATATATATTGTATAAACTGTGATTTTTGTACTCGGATCTTGGTTCTAAAGAACGATCCATGTAGTTTATGTTTTTGTTTTCTGCTGCGTAACTGGGTTGTTCACTAAAATAGGGTGCCGCATATAATATACACTCAAGTTTTATTATTCGAGAAGCTATATATTCCTAACAAATATATAGCTAAGGTGCTCTTGAAGTATGCACAGTCACATGGCATATTTACTAAAGTATGAATCTTGTATAAGCATGGAGGGAGAAAGTCCCATCATGTGTGAGTGGGAGATGTTAAACACCTCAAGTGGGACACTTATGATGAGACCCACCTATGGTTTTTATCTAAAGTAATAAGTGTTGAGATTCATGCATTTTGAGCATGGAAATGGTATGAAAATGATGGATGCAAGGTAGAACACAAACATATTTCATAAGCTAAATATGGCAAGAAAAAATGGTGGAATATTACCTACTCCTTAGGTTTTGAACACTTGGATCTTGATTCTTGGAGACTTTATTCTTCAATTGAGAATGAAGAGACTCAAAATGTGATTGACACAAGTCAAGGAAGAGAGAGCCGAATATGAGTGAAGGAGTTTGTGAAAGTGATTTTTGTTTTTTTATTATCAAAAAATGGTATAACACTTTATTTATATACCATGGGCACAAAGTGCAATTTTTAAATTGTTTTGGGAAAGCCTCAAACAATTTAAAATAACTTGAGAATAAGCATTTATGTCAAGTCCTTGGTTTTATGGTTAATTCACAATTAAACCAAATTTTAATTCCATTAAATATTCTAACCCTTTAGAATAAAACCAATGCACTTTTTCCCTCATTATTGAATCCAATTCAATAATAATATTTAATAGATCTTTATTACCCTTGGTTAGTGCTAGCTATCTATGGATAATCTTTTCTCACCAATACATTAACACGGATGCAACCGTTTATGTCCGAACATCATTAATCCGATTAATGATATGTATTACTCTCTCTCCTTGAGCTTGGTTTTATGTGTGACCATTTTGGTTCATTGTGATCTAGCCATGGGCCCAATATCAAATTTCGATATGTTATTATAACTCCTTATGATTGAAACTCCCACCAATTATGGTAGACGTCTAGCAATGTTCTGTAACCCCTAAACCAAAATGAAGTATAAACTTCGATGAACCTATTCCGATCATATGTACTGTGTAGTAAAATCCCTCCGTCGTCTAATCCCGATTAGAATCGTTCATGGTATGTCAAAACCCTTAACTTAATTTTTAATCGAATTGTCAATCAATACAATGGAACTCGTTAACACGAAACTACTTTTCATCTGACTTTATATTCTGGCCAGAGATTTCCCCTTTTCAATGTTTATTGACATTCATCTGAGAACTCGAGATCAAACTATTTCGAGTCCATAGATCCCATCTTGACCCACTCTTGTCCTTGCACATAAATAACATATGACCAAACCGGCTTGTTACACAAGACATGACTAGTCTTTTGCTTATAGACCTAATAAAACGGGTCCAGACTCGCGGGTTGACCCGTACCCAGGTAAAAAATATAGGGTACGGGTCTAATGTATTGGACCCATTTTTTTGGACTCGTACCCAGCCCGACCCGTATTATCAACAAGTTATACAGGTAAACTCGTGGGTGCTCGCGGGTACTCGTTTATTGTTTAAAAAAAAAAGGATTTGAAATCCCTAAATCAGTTGGACTCTCAACTCTCATCTCATTCTCATCCTAGTTCCCACTGTTGCCATCTCTGATCTCCTCTCTCTCACTGTCGCAACTCGCCATCTCCTCTCTCTCACCGTCACAACTCGCCTCTCTCATTGTCTCACATCGTCATTGTCGCCGTCAACATCTCCTCTCTCACACCTCCACCATTGCAGATTGGTGAGTTTTTAACAAAGATTGTATCAAGTGTAAAGTATATAAACCCCTTTTAAGCTTTGATAATTTGACTTAAAAGTAGGTAATGATTTGGGATTCATTCATCAGATATCCTCCTCAATTATTTTAACAATTTTGCTTGTAAAACAATAGCCCTATAAACATGTTTCTTTTTTCAATCAAGTTAGAGATTTTATGTTAACATGACAACAAGGCATTATTTAATCTAATACATATTAAAACAACAAGGTAAAGTGTGTGTGTGTGTGTGTGTTTGTGTTTTTTTTTTTTATATTTAATTTTTTAAGTCTGCGGCTTGTAATGTTATACGCGTGTTTGGTGTTTGTGAAAATGTCTATGTGAATTTTATGACGCGGGGTTTTGATTTTGAGATAGATTTTTATGTTAGGTGTTACTAGTTTTGCTTTATGTTTTACTTTGATGAAGTTTTGTTGATGGAAAAGACTTATAGAGAAGAACATGGGAAGTGATTTTGTGAACAGTAGTGGCTTTTCGAGTTTTGTTTTATCTGAAGATAGTTGATCAAGTTAAGTTTGTTATTGTAGTTCTAAGACTGAAGGTTTTAGATTTTTGGGAATCTTAGCTTAAGCTGGCTTTGACGAAACAGAGAGAAAAATAAGTAGAGAAAATATATTGAGGCTAGTGAAAGATACTGTGATTGAGTTGAAGTGAAAGATATGGATATGAGTTTTCAAGTAACATGTTAACATAATATTTCATATATTTTTTAGTTACATTTATTAATATTTGTAGTTGATCATTGTTTTGTAGATGATGATGTGAATGATGATTCAGATGATGATCTTGATGTGCCATTAACTAATCTGGGATTGTGGAATCAAGAGACTCTATCACCCCCACTGTGGGATGAACATTTGCTGCCCAAGAATGTTTTTTGTTGAACATTTGATTATGTATTTGTTTATTTTAATTGGTATTTGTAGTTTTGTATTTTACATTATTGACTTATTGTGTTTGTTTATGTGTATTAATGATTATATATTTGTTTATTTTGGTTGGTATTTGTGGTTTTGTATTATATGTTACTGACTTGCTGTGTTTGTTTTTGTGTATTACTATTAGTGATTATATATTTGTTTATTTTGGTTGGTATTTATAGTTATGTATTATATGTTATTGACTTATTGTGTTTGTTTATGTGTTATTTGTTTATTTTGGTTCCTATTTGTTTATATTCCAAATTGAATTGAATTTAGAGTAGTTGATTTTGGCGGTGTAAATGTAAAAAATTAAAATTGCAAGAATTTTAGGGGCATAACTATCATAATTGAAAACTATTGGGGTGAAAATGTAAAAATTAAAACTTGCAGAGAGGAAAACGGACACCCGCAGGTCCACCCATACCCGTATAGGGTAGGGTATGGGCCCAATATTTTGGACTCATATATCTCGACCCGTATTGGGCCCATACCCGTGACGACTCAACCCGAACTTTCCCCACTCGCCCGTTTTGCCAAGTATACGTGCTTATACATCATATGAACCATATGCATCATATGTTGAATCCAACCATGATATCTCAAGTCTAAGGATCAATGGTACACTAGTACGACCCTACGATGTATCATTGACCACATTCTAAATGTCCATGTGATTCATCATAATCGGTCATATTCGATAAACAGTTCACTAACTGTTTATCCATGGTAATGCCCCAGCGACATAACTCTTATAATCACCCACACTAATACCATCACATGATAGTCAATATAGACATTCAGCAAGCCTACTATGCAATGTTATTGCCTAATTAACATTACTTATGTAGGGAATGCTTTGATGATTTGATCTTTTGAGGATCCACATCATTCGGACATTTCACATTCAATATATATAATATAAATGAAGTAGTAAATCAACATGTGAAAAAAGAACACTTTCTTTTATTAATAAAATATTTACAAGATATAATGTCCTAGAACCGACAACACGGTTGGTTCCTAGGGCATACACTAACAAAACTCCTACTTGCACTAGAGTTAATCGTTGTGGTATCTAATACCCATCTTCTTAAGATGATAGTCCAATTGCTTCTAGTCATCGCTTTGGTGAGTGGATCAGCTACATTTTTCGCTGAAGGTGTTTTCTGTACAAAAAATTCTCCAACTCCAACGAATTCTCTCAAAATGTGATATTTAAGCTGAATATGTTTTGACTTCTGGTGCACCCTTGGTTCCTTTACTTATGCAATAGCACCAGTATTGTCCAGTACAAGGTTAACAGATAAACAATGTTTGGAATCACACCAAGTTGAGTCATGAACTTTTGCATCTTGACAACTTCTTTTACTACTTCTGAAGTGGCAATGTATTCAGCTTCTGTAAGGGAATCGGCAGTAGTCGAATGTTTGGAACTCTTCCAATTAACTGCTCCTCCATTACATGTGAAAATGAACTCAGATGTAGACTTTCTATTATCCACGTTTGATTGAAAATTAGAATCAGAGTATCCTTGAATCTTCAATACTGAGCCTCGATAACTTAGTACTAGATCCTTAGTTCTTCTTAAGTACTTAAAGATCGTTTTAACAACTAACCAATGCTTCTCCCCTAGGTCGGACTGATACCTGCTTGTAACACTTATAACATATCCAATATTAGGTTTAGTACATAGCGTAGCATACATGAGACTACCTATGGCTGAAGCATAGGGTATCTCACGCATCCACTCGCGCTCTTGATCAGCCTTTGGACTCATATCTTTCGAAAGATGAATTATGTGACTGTAGGGAAAAAATCCCCTTTTGGAGTCTTGCATGCCGTAGCATTTCAGTATCTTTTCTATGTACATCCTCTAGAATAAGCCTATTAATCCTTTCATTCTAGCATTCTTATGAATCCTGTTGGGAGCTTTTGACATACCTTACTCCCCAAGATGTAGGGAATTTGATTGTTTGGTGGTATATCAAGGTCACAGCCTTTAAGCACCGTAACAGTGGTCGCCCTACTATTATATTGAATGTAGATAAGTAGTCCACCATGAGGAAAGTGGCCATCTTTGTTGCTTGATCCTCGTCCCATAGTGTGACGGGGAACGAGATTAGGCCACGGGGAATTATATGATCCTCGGTGAACCCATAGAGTGAGGTCACTACCAGCTTCAAGGCACTATCTTTTAAGCCCATTTGTTTAAAGGCGGGATAATATAGAATGTTTACGGCACTCTTGTTATCCACAAGCATCCAATGGACTTTGTGATTCCCCACGCGAGTTGTTATGACCAGGGCATCGTCGTGAGGGTGGTGGACCCACCTCGCATCTTCTTCCGTGAAGATAATGGGTTTAGTGTCAGCTCACTAACATTTGGCAGGTTGCAGCCTAAGGCTATTCACATTTATGTAAGGATCCATCTTGCTTCCTGCGCATAGAGGTTTAAGGAGCGATGTGAGTTACCTTTTATGTGGGGTTCATTGAAGATGACATGTATGACACTATCTTCTTCTGGAGCCTCTGGTCGTTACACGTTGGTTTGTTGTTTGTTTTTGCGATTTGCCTTTGAGCTAGCTTGGTTTTTCACGTACTCTTTCAAATGGCCGCTACGGAAAAGGTCTTTAATCGCGTTCTTCAATGCAAAGCATTCTTCAGTGGTATGTCTGATAGCTTGATGATACCGACAGTACTTCTTAGGATTACGCCTTTCTTAGGGCGTCTTTATCTCTGCAGGCTTTGGTAGCAGCCTTGCTTTATTTGTGACCTCAAATATTTCTTCTACTGGAGCAGCTAAGGGTATATAACATGGCTAAGGAGTAGAGGAAAATCTACCGGAGGCTTTTTGTGTACTTCTCTCTGATTGTCCTCACGTTTTTGTGAGACAACATCTTTTTTCTTTCCTCACAACGGTTGCTAATTCGGATGTAAATCTTGGTTGTAATGTTGGGAACGCAACCTTGTAATGCAGCGATGGAGTTCTCAATCTTGAGGTATTTTTCCGCCATTTGGTAGAATTGAGCTAAAGACACATGGTCTTCAGCTTGTAAATCTTTCCACAATTCTATTTGGGGATGAACTCCTGCAATAATCAGAGTTCGTATTGACTCCTCAGATGCATTTGCCACCCGACTCAACTCGCAATTAAACTGCTCCAGATAGGATTTCAAAGTTTGTTCTTTGTCTTAACGAATGTTGCTAAGCTAACTTAGAGGCATGGAAAACTTTCGGTTCACCTAGAAATGCTTAAGAAATTGTGCACTCAGTTGTCGCCAATACGTGATCAACCTTATGGGTAGCAATCTAATCCATCTTTTTGCTCCCACACCGATAGATAGCGACATTTGTCCAAATCGAAGACCTAATGCAATTCCGTAATACATCGAGGTGGTTTTGGGGTCGCCATGACCATTGAAGATCTTGACATCAAACATCCTGAATCTGAGGGGCAATGGCTCATAAAAGATCTCGGGGGAAAACGAGTACCTCCCATGCCCAACGGTCCTTTCTTCCTGCCTTGCATAGAGCTCATCTAAAGTTCGCTACAAATCTTCTAGTTATTGCCCAACTGGGAAACTGCGTTTTAAGACCTCTATCTATTGTCTGCGATTTTTGGAGGTCGCTTCTTGGTGACGGGGGTAATTACCTAGTAGGCTTTGACGACGTCTTCCCCTCTCCCAACAATCTATCAAACATGGATAATCACTCTAGGGAGTCTCCTGCTAGGTGTCATTGCTGATATGTTGGTCATGGGGAATCTTTGGCAGTGGGTTACTACCTGCACCTCGTTGTCACCTGTCACAAGGTTAAATCAGCCCCCAAGGTGGAATGGTGTGATCGGGGATTGGTTCTTAATGTATCACACTGTTGTTTGCTTGTCGCCGGTGATTTTTGACGATTCTTTGGGACATGTCGGGACATCATGGATGTTGTATGAAACGACCATGGCAACTGACCCCATAAGATACATCTCTATGGGGCACCACATTGGTTGTGCTCCCCTTCTGCCTCCGGGACATTTGTTATGGCATCTAGGGTCTGGAGCGCTATGGCCAACGTCCCCAACACGTCCATCATTTGGGGATTCCCAACCCTATTCTCAAGCTTGGGAGGCTGGTTCTCTTCGGGTATAGGATGTAGATGGTTTTCTATTCTTTCTCCTTCCTGATTCAAAGGGGCTTTGGAGCTAGCTCTGGTATAACGCATGTCGGTGGATAGGTTACAGGTGTACGATGTTGTTCCTAGTGAACAGAGACAACTTTTGTGGAGGCCCTCATTCTAGCGCCAAAATCTTGGTGCGGTTTTTCGCACCAACTAGATGTACGCAAGCCTTCAGAAAGTTTGTGCACAGGGTCTATGAAAGACAGTGAAATAGCAAGTATGATGTTGAACCATTGTGTTCAGTGAGCTTTATGTGTGGAGCAAATGAAATATAAAGCAGTAAATGCATATAAGTAAATAAATAGACCAAAACAATTTTTAAAGTGGTTCGAAAGCAATAAGCAATTCCTACGTCCACTGTTATTTTATTAATGTGATTACAAGGAGAACTTTTGCTATTAAAGACTAGCACTGTAGTACTTTTTGTACTAAAAAGATGTTGATATCTTCTTTGTGTAGGATGAGAATCCCCTATTTATAGTGTTCAGGAGGTAATCTTGGGTGTGAAGTAATTCACACGCAATGGGGCATGTGGCGCCACACTGTTAACCTGGTGGATGAAGTAATCCTCATGCAAGCGGGACATGTAGAAAGGGAATCAGCTTGCATTCTTATTGGTGAAGTTTTCTTCATTCAAGTGGGCACCTGTAACGCCCCACTTGAGGTACGTAGCTAATGCTTCTTCTTTTGCTCTTATTTGAGTTGGTTTATTAGTATTATTGTTTGGTTGACCTTTGATTGAGTGATATGTTGAATACTTGCCCTGAAATTGGTTGAAATAGAAGAAGTTCAGTGTTCCAGGCTTCGCCGCGGTGAAGAGGTGTTGAAGCCACGGGAAACTGCTGGATAGTTTCGCCGCGGCGACGGGCCGACCAAAATGTTTGTTAAGTTTTAGATATTTTCTTCCCTAAGGGCAATTTGACCATTCTACCCCTAATTAGTAGGAAAAGTGGGGAGTAAAATGTAAGGAATTTTCATGGAGAATATGTTGATATGGGGGTGTGTTTGTAATGAATCAAAGGATATAGATGGAATTCCCAAGGAAGAGTAAGGGCAAAATGGGAATGCTTGTGCATAAATTTCATTAAAAGGAATTAAGTCATTGCAAACCCTTCATTCTTCTTNAACTCTTAATTCCTTTTAATGAAATTTATACCCAAGCATTCCCATTTTGCCCTTACTCTTCTTTGGGAATTCTATCTATATCCTTTGATTCATTACAAACACAACCCCATATCAACATATTCTCCATGAAAAATCCTTACAATTAACTCCCCACTTTTCCTGCTAATTAGGGGTAGAATGGTCAAATTGCCCTTAGGGAAGAAAAAATCTAAAACTTAACAAACATTTTGGTCGGCCTGTCGCCGCGGCGAAGAAGCTTCTGTCGCCGCGGCGAAATTGTCCAGAGAGTTTCCCCATGGTTTCAACACATCTTCGCCGCGGCGAAGATTCTTCTTCGCCCCGGCGAAGCTTGGCACACTGAACTTCTTCTATTTTCAACCAATTTCAGGGCAAGCATTCAACACAATACTCAATCAAACAATATTACCAAAAACCAACTCAAGTAAGAGCGAAAGAAGAAACAATAACTACGTACCTCAGGTGGGGCGTTACATATGCATAAATTACACATGCACGTATTATATGAATGAGATATATTCATATTTAATCAAAATTGCATCAATATCCATCAAATCCAACATGCATGTTACATATGACTTTAAAAACAAGAAATTTTGTATTCTAAATATTAAAATTTCATACAAGCATGTTAATAAGCATGAATATCACATATCCATCATCATTTGTATTCAAAATACACAACAACTTTAACATGCATCTAAAGACGAAACATACCCATGTCCAAACCTAGCCATTTTTCACCAAAAATACTATATGCATGCATGAATTTAAACATGCTTTGATACCATTTTGGGATTCATGCATTTCGGGCATGGAAATGGTGTGAAAATAATGGATGCAAAGTAGAACACAAACATAATTCCCAAGCAAGATATGGCAAGAAAAAGGGTGGAATATTACCTACTCCTTTGCTTTTGAACACTTAAATCTTGATTCTTGGAGACTTTATTCTTCAATTGAGAATGGAAAAATTCAAAATGTAATCGACACAACCCAAGGATCTTGATTCTTGGAGACTTTATTCTTCGATTGAGAATGAAAAAATTCAAAATGTGATCGACACAATGCAAGGAAGAGAGAGCCGAATATGAGTGAGAGAGTTTGTGAGAGTGATTTTTTTTTTTTTAATTATTATCAAAAAATGGTATAACACTTGATGTATGTTAGAGTCATGAAAGTGACTCTATTTTGGTGATAAAAATACCCCATGTGTGATTAAATTGAAGTATATTGAGATAATTAAAGAATTTATGAATTAATTCAAAAAAATCGCTTACTAATATTTTTCTTATGAATTTAACGTGTTTGGAATGATTTTGGAAAGTATATGAGTTGATATTAGGTTGTGGTTTATGGATTAAAGGTGATTTTATCTCATTTATGCTGTTTAGGGGGTAAAATGTCATGTTTTAAGGGGTTGATTTTGTCACTTTTCAATTGTATAGGGACTAAACTGAAATTTTA